TTAATAAGTTTATAATCAATCTAAAATCATAAACTCATATCTTCACCTTATACGCCTTTATAGGGCACAGTAGGCAGCAAACTAATTTTCTCCTTCTTATCTACATTTCTCTTTCTTCTGTGTAGATACCAAAATCTCCCTGACAATTGCCACACAGGTCTCCATGACTCCACTACTGCAGGGACTAAACAAGTTCTTACATAGTGAACAATGCAAGGGCATTCATATCATAGAAACTGTTTCTGTTTTAACTACAAACTTTAAACTATAAACAATCACGTCAAATATGATGTATGATTATTCATTTGGTTTTTATACTTTATATGTGAATCTAATAAAATGTTAATGTAGTAGGTAAATGCAAGATATAGATAGAAAGCATGATTTAGAACTGTAAGAAGGCAGGTATAGATGATCAGGTTTGTGCCTACAGACCAGGTCTTAATCCAAGCTGAACAAGGGCAACAAAACATCCACAGGTGTAGATTTCTCTCAAAACTGGGGGGGTGAGGTTCTAAGCCTCACCTCTGTTGGCTCCCTTTTTCTCACCTGATGGCCCCCTGCAACTGTGCCTGTCTTAGGTTGTTCCTCCCTTGAGGAATCTTACCTGTCTCTGGCTAACCAGCCATCTTATGGGGCCATACAGGGAGATGTAAAGCTGGTAAGTGAGAGAGAAGTAATATTCTTTGAAAAGGTTAATTTTTCACTTCTTTGCAGATTTATGCTCCATGGCTTCTATGCCCAGCACTTGTTTTTGAGGTATCTTTACTTCCTGGAATATGGTACTTGGTAATTTCACGTATGAGGCACAAATTCTAGTAAAGGGCTGTGATTAGGAAAGGAGAAAAACAAACTGTAGAAGTAGTAGAGGGAGGAAAACATGAGATGATTAATTAAGTGTCAACAGGGTTATTCTATTCAATATTCTTTCATAACTTGATTTCTAGAAAACTTTCCATCACTAGTTTCACTAGCATAAACAAGGGGGGCATTCTCAGTGGAAATGGGGTGGTCAATGTTTGACTAACAGCAGGTTTCGGTACTTTATGCTAAGATCACCATTTGGCCCCTGCATGTTCTTTTCTTCAGGAGCACTGCCCTGAAAAGCTTTTGGGAAGTTTATGTTCTCATCTTTTCCGTGCTGCTTAGCAAAGGTTAGCTTAGTCTTTGGCAACAATGCAAGTAAAAACAAAGCCAATAGTATAATGGAAAATAACAAAATCAAGGTGGGTAACAGAGGGAGCCAGCTGCAAAGACCCCTGATTTGTGGGGGTCTTCCTCCAGCCTGAGCTTTGCTACACAGCTTGAGTAGCATGGCTCCCAGCACTGGTCTGCAGCCCCACCACCCAGGCCCTCATACAAGAAAACACTAGTGGTCTTAAGCCACCCTTCCAAAAGTTATTAAACGAAATGCATAAATAAGGTTGACAGAAAATATCAGTTTTGTACAAATGAAATGGGGCTCATGGGTACTGTATTCTGTGTTCATGCTTGAGATCTGACCATCATCTTTATATTTTAATGTCAACATGGCTGGGCTATAGTATTTTCAACTTATATTTTCAGAACATAAATAACACCTGCTCATGGGAAAAATTTCAAACTGTAGAATAGGTTATACAGTGAAAGATTTCCTATATCTTTATATGCAATCTCATTCTGTCATCCTGCTACCCAGCCAGCTGTGGGCACAAGCATGACCTCTGGCACTGGGGCGCTATAAACAGTATAAGAAATGGTCTTGAGCTCAATAGGCTTTTTCTGGCTGTCTCAGTTAATGAAGTGGGAATCAGTAATGCTTACATTAGTATTGAAGCAAGCTGGGTCAGGACTGTGTCCAACTGATGAGTATATATCTTATCCAAAGGGACAGCCACTGCTCAGCTCCAGCTGTTTCTCGCTGGAAGAAAGCAGACTCAGTGTTGCTAGATTTCAGGGATGTCAAGTCAAAGTGGAAATTCGTATTTGCAAGATAAATGTGTTGTTTCTATGCCAAACTACACACACACATGGGCTGGATTTGATCAGTTTGTGGGTGCAGCAGTAGTTTTGAGGATGGCTCTGGAATCTTGGTTTACCAAGATCCTGGCTCTACCACTCATGCATTCTGGACCCGTTTCAACATCTCTAAAATCTGATTCTATTTTATAGGATGCTTATGAGAATCAAATGAGATGCTGGAAGCACTTAATAACATGTGAGGTGGACTCTACATAAAGCTTACAATCTAATGGAAGGAAGAATATATGAATCTCATCTGGGAACTGGCTTCATTGGGACAGTGGCATTTGTAAACAAAGACCTGAAGGATGAACAGTTAATTGGGTGGAGAAGTGGGAGAGAAGGAGGGGAAGGACAGGACAGGAAAAGGAGGGGAAGGGCAGGACAGGAAAAGGCCTCGGTTTAGCCTGAGGCCAAGTCCTTGCCAGCTTAGGACATCACACCTCGCTGGCCAGCATCAACTTGCCAGACAGAAAAACCACACCCACCAAGGCGCTCTAACCCTCTTTCAAATACCGAAGAGAGGGAAGCAAGGTGGAGTTGGGGGTGGTGTGGAGGGGTTACCTTGGGGTCAAAAGTGAGTAGTTTTCCAGGCAGAGGAGTAAGATTTAGAAGGCAGGCAAGAAGTCACAGAGGTAGGAAGCAGTCCCATTTGCTTGGACTGCTGAGGTGCCTAGACAGATGTTTCCAAAGCTGGCTGGAGATGAGGCTGGGCAGTATGCAGCACTTAAACTTTCAGATTGAAGAATCTGGCCAGTTTGTAGGACCTCTGTCAACTGGAGAATAGGCGCCCCCTGGGAGCAGGGCTTGGTAGTAGATGCTGGAGGAACCAGATGAGGAGGGTCGGGGCAGGAGGGGATGCGGCTGATGTGTAGCCTGCCCTCCACAGTCTTCTTCTCTCAGGAGCTAATTCCTTCAGGCATGATGGATTCCTGGGATCCCATAACAGCTGTGCTGGAAGGGACCTCAAAAAAGGAACTGCCAACACAGGCCCCTCGTCAGGCCCTTAGCTGGTCACTTTCTTAACACATCTAACTCTGCTTCGTAGATAAGTATCATTATCCCCATTTCTCAGATGAGAAAACCGAGGTTTGCTGACTTCTCAAGGAGGGGCGGGGATTTTGGGGATGACTCCAGAGACTTTTTCCTGGAGCCCTCATAACTTGGAAGATACTGAGTTCCTGAGGTTTGGGTGAACAAGCATCGGGTGCGAGGCGTCCCAGCTTTCCAAAAGACAACAGTGTGACCTCACTTTCGGCGATAACCACGCCTCCCTTATCGCGACAATACTGGTTACTGTTGCTTTCCTTTAAGAGCCTTCCCGTGAAATATGAAGTCCTCGCCACACGGGGAGGCGGACATTATTATAACCCTGGATCGTCCGGACATTTCTCCCTCACCCTCACTCATCCCCACTGGTGACATAAACTCTCCCCTTCCACTAGCGAGTGAAGGCGTGGGACTACATTTCTCGGCACGTCGTTCAGAAGAGGGTGGCGGGGAGAAAAGGAGAGAGAATCCGTTTCCGTTGACTCACAATTTGGCGTGTCCGCCGTGGTTCACATTTCCACAGTCCACGTCCTGTCTACGTCCCTCGGCAGGACTAATGATAGGCCACCACCTTTCCCACGTTTTCACAAGGAGTAGCCTTAAACGCGTGGACTACAAATCCCAAGTCGCCGTCTTCCTTAACCGGTACTCCCCGCCCCTTTCCCCTCCATTGTCTCGACCTAAAATAAGAGGGGAGCAAGGAAGACTGCAACTCCCGTCAGGCTCTGCGCCAGCGGGAGAGGAATTTCCATATTACAGGAGAGAGAGGTGCCCAAGGTGATAGAGTGAGGCAACGGGGAGAGGCCAGGTAGTCTGCCATCTTTATCGTAGTCTCCTTATCCTCCTGGTTCTGCCATTCTTAAGGAGCACTATAAGGCTGGAAAACTACTATTCCCATCGCACCTCATAAGATCACCTACTAGTCAAGTGTACGCCCCTCTTCCGCCATCTTGCTTGTAGTCCTTGTTCGATTTCACCTTTCCATTGTTCCTGACGAGTAGAAATGGCAGCGGGCAGCAGATGGACTGCGACTCCCGTCAGGTACCACATACGCAGAGGGTTGTGGACAGGAGTGCGTGCGAGTGCCTGGGAAGGAGGTCGGGTCGGGAGAAAGCGCCATCTTGTTTGTAGTCATCGTTCCGGCTTCTTCGCTATGCTCTGCAATGGGGAACCACCGGCCAACCGGACTATAACTCCCGGCATCCTCGGCTCCCGGCGTGGACCGTCCTCCGCCATCTTGTCTGTAGGCCCCGCTGGCCCAGCATCCTGTTGTTCCCACGGTAGCAGCCCCGTCCATAGAACTACGACTTCCGTCGTGCCCTGCTCGCATTCTCCTGGAAAGTGGAGGTGATGAGGGAGGGAGGAGGCAGGGGGCGGGGTTCCTCTGGGAGAAGGAGGGAGTAAGGAGAAGGAGGAGGAGGAGAGAGGGGAGGGGGAAGAGAGGAGGAAGGAGGAAGGATCTCAGGAGGGATGAGAGAGGCGGCCAGGGCATCGGACTGAAGCAGCGCGGGGCCGGGAGACCTGGGGGGCTAAGGCACTCCGATTGCTCCCTTCCCTTTTCCCTGCCGTCTTCCATTCTTTCCTTCCACCCTCCAGCTTGAGAAAGGGGATTTATTCAAATTTTATTTAAATCCCTATCTCCCGAGGGTCGCGCGCTGGGGGAAGGAGAAAGGGCGGGGGGCGCGCGCAGGCTGGGGGGGCGGGGCTGCCGTAGCTTCCTTCAACCCCCACTGCTCACCCCGTAGCCGTAGGGCAGGGGCCGCAATCCAGGGACCAGCCCAGGGGAGGGGGGCAGGTTACAGAGACACCCCCCTCCCCGGGAACCGGCGGTGGGCGGGGCTTGAGCCCCGGAAACGGTGGGGGTCCCAGGCCTGGCCCTGGACCCCTGGGCAGTGGGGGTCGGGAAGGGGCCAGTTAAAGAGCCAGGGGCACTGGGGAGAGGCGGGGCGGAGGGAGGGGAGCTGGGACTCGGACCCTGGACTGAGTAGGGCCCGGGCTGAAGCTGAGCACCCTACTCCCGAGGACCCCCCACCCCGTTAGCCTGGGAGGACTGAGGGACTGAGCCCCCCCAGAGCAGAACCTCCCCCTGGAAGGGCCGCGCCGCAGCCCGTGGGAGGGCCTCGCCCCCGGCGCCCTCCATCTCCACTCGCTGCAGTCCCGGCCTCCGCCGGAGGGAGGGGACGAGCGCCCTCGGGGGGCCGTGGACCCCGGCGTTCTGAGCGTTCCGCGCCCCGCGCCGCCCGGCCCCCCCGCCGCCGATGGCCGCCGACCCGCCGGGAGCTGCCGAGAAGGGAGAGATGGCTCCCGGGACACGTGTGAGGTGGGTTCGTGCGGCTCCTCCTCACTCCCAGACCTGGGCAGCTCCCACTCCCATTCATCCTCAGTCCGGCCTCCCTCTACCTTCCCCGCCCCCAGCCTCGCCCTCTCTGCTCCAAACTCATCTCCAGCTCTCCTTCCTGTTACCTCTCAACCCTGGGGAACTGGCCTGCCTTCCTAGACCCCGCTTCCCCTTGCAGACCACCCCACAATCCCCGCCTGCAGTCCCCGCCCTCTAGGCCCCTCCCCTGGAGCGCTGGAGGGTCCCTTCCCCCAGTGGATGGGTCTAGAAGTCCCTGGAAAGGGGGAAGCAGGGGTAAGATTCTAGCCTTGGAAAGACCCCTGGGCCTGATGAGTCTATGGAATTCTCGGAGGATCTGGTTTATATGGGAAGGGGAGCCCAAGGAATTCTAGACAATTAGGGAATGGAAGTAGCTTGGGAAGTTGGGGGCGGAGGTGGGAGGGGGCATGTAGGATTAAGCCCATCCTGAGTTCTGTAGAAATGTCAGACTGGATTCTAGAATCCCAGGGAATCTGGGAGATAGCCCAAGTTCACCTGAGAGACTGAAGAGGAGGGTATCTTGGAGCAGAGGGAGCTCTATGGGGAGCAGAGGAGTTGAGGTCTTGAGCTTGGAGGGACTCTGAAGCAGCATCTCGGCGGCGGTGGGTGGGGGTGGTCTGAGAACTTTGGGAAGTTGGGCAGCAGAGTGAATCTTTAGACATGTGGTCGGGCAAGGATCCCATTGGATCTAGTGGAGTTATCTGTTTTTGGGGAAAGAAAGATTGGGTGGTGGTTTTATGTGAGAGGAAGGAGGTAAAAAGAGAGGTATGGAGCTTCCACCTAGGATTCTGTGGGTGTCTTGGATGTAAGTCTGAGAAATTTTAGGTTGGGGAGAGCATGGGGTGTAGTAAATTTGGATAACGGGGAGAGTTGGGATTTCTCCACAGATAAGGCACCCCTGGCTTTCCAAGGAGCTTTGGTGTGGGGGTGGCAGTGGAGAGACCCCAGTGTCTCTGTGGGCTAGGCAAGGGGGTGCTGAGGAAGTGTTAGTGAGGTCAGGAAGCCAGTTCTCAGGCTCCCAGAGGAGCCAGGTGAGCTGCGTGGACAGAGGCCTTGAGTAGGAGTGGTTTCCCCACCCGCTGTAGGAGGGCGACCTCCTTGTTACTTGTCTCCCTGGGTAGGAGGGCAAGCCCTGGCTGCCTAGGAATGGGGGGAGCTGCTAGGAGTTTCCCAGGCAAGGGCCCCAGAGGGCCCATCTGACCCTGCCACCATTCACCTACAGCCCTCGGCGTTGCTGACGCCCCCAATGTCGTCGAGCAGCCGGGGGCCGGGGGCCGGAGCGCGCCGACGCCGAACCCGCTGCCGTCGCTGCCGGGCCTGTGTGCGAACTGAGTGCGGGGACTGCCACTTCTGCCGAGACATGAAGAAGTTTGGGGGGCCCGGGCGCATGAAGCAGTCGTGCCTGCTCCGGCAGTGCACCGCGGTGAGTTCTGCCCCTACCTACTCAGGCACCCTTCCCCAGCTGCTCAGGGTGCCTTTCTGGGGTGGCTGGTGGCTGCTTCTTAGAGTATACTGTAGAGTTACTGCTTGGTCATCCATTCACTCAGATATCCCCAGGCCCCATTCCGTGCTCAGATCCAAGCTGGAGCAATGTTAGGGCACACCAAAGAATCCCACCTAGTCCTCACCTTCATGCTTTTCCCAACTTTCAGACGCCTAGATTAATAGAAAGCCCATCCCCTATCATGCCCCTCCCTAGAGAAATCTGTGCACAGGGATCAACCCCGGAGCTGGCCCCTGTGAGTAGGTCTTAGCCTTTTTTGGCCTCTTCCTTACCTGTCAGAATGTTGTATTTAAGGCTGGGTTTACCTTTGTGTGACCTTGAGTGAATCACTTTGAACCCCAAGGTACTTTCTCTAAAATGTTTCTTTTGCTGAGTTGTAAAGATTTTTAACACTAGCATGTGTGTGAATGTGCCTGTTACAAGGTCCAGCACATAGTAGGTATCTGAAGAACGTGGTTTTCTTCCTGGTCTTCCTCATCCTTTCAGCTTCCCAGGGCTGGAGAGCAGCCCTTCCCCAGCAGCCATGAGGAGGCAGCTACATTCTCCGTCCCTTTCCCACACCACTACCTTCTTTGTTCCAGACACTTTTTCCTGCCTGGTCTTTTCACCCCACAGCCCCTCTCTCCTTTTCCTTTGTGCCCCAATTCTTGCCTCACTTTCCTGTTCCCTCTTTCCCTACCTGCTACTTCCTTGAGCCTGTCTCACAAACTTCAGCATCCCTGAGATGACCCAGTATTACTACTCTTCCCCCACAATTCACATTGTCTGAAGGCTGCTCCCTTTCCCCTAGGACCAGCCAGCTGTTTTTAGTGTTCCCAGGAGTCTTGCAGAAACCGGGTTCATTGTGGGATCCAGAGCAGCCCTTGGCTGCCCATTGAGCAAATTCAGAGTCATCCCAGGCTGCTGCTGAGTAGCCTCCAACTCTCAGTATTGCCATATTTGCCTGTGGTCTTTCTTCCTCCCCAAAACTGGCTACAATTTCATGGTCACAGAGCCCTAGATTCAGCTGCAACAACACAACAGAGATAACTATGTATCGAGTGCCTCTCAGACACAATCTCATTCTTAACAGCCCTCCTAGGGAAAACTTCCTAGCCCCACTTTACAAATGGAGAAATGGGAAACATAAGGAGGTTAAATCGTAGTTCAAGGTCATACTGCCAAAAAGGAACAAATTCAGGATTTAACCCAGCTTGGCCCATGGGTTCTGAACCTCATCCAGCAACTGGCCACAGTCCTCAGAAGAGTCTTTCCCCTATTGCCTGCTTTTGAGGTTCTTGATGCCCCCTCTTCCCCAACAGCCCGTGCTCCCACACACAGCTGTATGCCTCTTGTGTGGGGAGGCTGGGAAGGAGGACACAGTGGAGGGAGAGGAGGAGAAATTTGGTTTGAGCCTCATGGAGTGTACAATATGCAACGAGATCGTCCACCCTGGCTGCCTGAAGGTGATGGCCCTGGGGACCCTGGAATCCGGGGTGGGGCAGATTATCAAGGAACAGGATGGTGGGGAACACTGCCTCTGTGTTTACCAGTACCCTCTGTCCACTCCCTGCCCCCTGCCTACAGATGGGGAAGGCTGAGGGTGTCATCAATGCGGAGATACCTAACTGCTGGGAGTGCCCTCGCTGCACCCAGGAAGGCCGGACCAGCAAGGTAGGGGCAGGGGCTGAGTTGGTTGCTGGCCTCTGAGTAGGTGGTGGATTGGGGAGCTGTGCATAACCTCACCCCCAGCTTCCATCTCCCCAGGATTCAGGTGAGGGACCAGGCCGCCGCAGGGCTGACAACGGCGAGGAGGGTGCCAGCCTGGGGAGTGGATGGAAGCTGACGGAGGAGCCGCCACTTCCACCACCCCCACCCAGGCGCAAGGGCCCCCTATCTGCTGGGCCCCCCCCGGAGGACATGCCTGGGCCCCCCAAAAGAAAAGAGAGGGAGGCAGGGAATGAGACCCCCACCCCAAGGAAAAAGGTGAGCCAGGGAGCATGCTCATTAGGTCCAGCCCAAGGGATTCTGGGAGTGGTAGTCTGTTCTTTTTGGGGGTGGGTTGTCCCGGGAGGCAGTGCTTGATGGTTTCCCCAGGGGTTGTCAGGGGATGTAGCTCAGGAGGTGTTGGGGAGAAGATGAAGCATGTTGTGTGTGAAGGAGAGGTAATATGTGGGAAGCAACAGGCACTGCAGGGAAGCTTCGGGTGCTTCAGAGAGGGGGAGAGAGCATACTCAAATTAGCTGCTACAGAGGAGGAAGGAGGGGCTGGAAAGGGCCTGTGGGGGCTAGAAAGAGGAGGTGAGAGCATGCTCAGTGAGCCAAGACTCTGGTTGGAAGGTGAGCATGCTCAGTTTTCCCTCCGATGGGGGCTTCTGGGATTTGTAGTTTAGAAGACAGCATAGCTCTTAGTTTGGTGAATGAGGGGCTAATGGGGTCTCTCCTTTTCCCCATATCTCCCTCATCCTGGTAGGTGAAAGGAGGCCGAGAAAGGCACCTGAAGAAGGTGGGTGGAGATGCCTGCCTCCTCCGAGGATCGGACCCAGGCGGCCCCGGCCTTCTACCCCCCAGGGTTCTGAATCCAAGCCAGGCTTTCTCGTCCTGCCACCCTGGGCTCCCTCCCGAGAACTGGGAGGTGTGCCGGAGACCTCTTCCCTCCTCCTCTCACCTTTCCTTGCTCCACCCTCCACCCTGGAGACAGATCTGTTCCTTCCTGCTCTCCTTGTCCCTCCCCTGCCCCTGCCCCTGCCCCACGTGGCCACAGCAGGCATCTGACCTTTGGGAAGGGTGGAGGGGAGAATAAGTTGGGGCCAGGAGCCCCTGACTTTCCAAGAACCCTCAGGGTATCATCTGACCAATTTGCCTCATCTTTCCAAACCTTAAAGGGGAAAGAACTGAGTTCACATTCCCTCTTGCTGACTCCCTGTGTAATCTTGGCAACTTGTCAGCTTCTCTGAGCCTCAGTTTCCTCATCCATAAAATGGAGATGATACTATCTACCTTATCCACCTATCCCACAGAACTGTTTACATCTAATGAAAGTAAATGAGCCTTGTAAACTATAAAATTCAGCTAGATTTGAGGAAAATGAGTTTCAGAGAGGTTGAAAGATTTACCCAAGGTCACACAGCAAAGGTGGAATTCAGATTTCACTTTGCATTGACGCTAAACATGAGTCTACCAGACTGTTCAAATCCTGCTTCTGTCATCTGTCAGTTTCTAACTATGGACAAGTCACTTATTCTCTCTTAGCCTCAGTTTCCTCATATCTAAAAAAAGTGACTTAGGTAGCCACTCCATTTGAGCACTGTGAGGACATGATGAGTCTGAGGGATGCTCTGCCCAAGGCCAGATGATTGCTGTTACTCTCACCTTGTCGAGTAGACACTTGGAATTGTCCAATCCAGCATTGCCTGGAGGTGATGTGGCAGGGACTTCCCAAGGTCATGCAGAAAGTTGATAGCCAAACAATACTCAAAACCCGGTCTCTTAACTGTTCTTTGTATCTCACTGCTTTTGGGAATTCATAAGCTATTGAAACCCATAAGGTTTTCAGTTCTTTGGGTTAATGCCTTCATATGACAGATAAGGAAACTGAAGTCCAGAGAAGGGCATGACTTGGCTGAGGCCCTCACTTTGCTCAGGAGCAGAGCTGGAGCTGGAACTCAGGACTGTCCCCTGGGCTGTTCATCCCCTGCTGATTCCTCAGGGACTGGGGGGTGGGAAAGTGTGTGCCACGCCCTAGAACAGCCTCCCCATCTCCCTGCAGAAACCAAAGCCACCTTTGGCCTCTGCTGATGGCCCAGCAGTGCCATCCCCATCACCACAAAGGGAGAAGCTGGAGCGTTTCAAGAGGATGTGCCAGCTGCTAGAGCGGGTACCTGACACGTCCTCATCTTCCTCGGACTCAGACTCAGACTCTGACTCGTCAGGCACATCGCTGAGTGAGGATGAGGCCCCTGGCGAGGCCCGGAATGGGCGACGGCCAGCCAGGGGCAGCTCAGGCGAGAAGGAGAACCGCGGGGGGCGGCGGGCTATGCGCCCTGGCAGTGGGGGGCCCCTCCTCAGCTGGCCCCTGGGCCCCGCCCCACCGCCCCGGCCCCCACAGCTGGAGCGGCATGTAGTACGGCCCCCACCTCGAAGCCCTGAGCCCGACACGCTGCCCTTGGCTGCTGGATCCGACCATCCCCTGCCCCGTGCCGCCTGGCTCCGTGTCTTCCAGCACCTCAGTCCCCGAGAGCTATGCGTTTGCATGCGAGTCTGCCGGACTTGGAGCCGCTGGTGAGTGGCCTGGAAAGGTTTGGGGTACCATTGCCAAGACTCTCTTTACTTGCTGTGTGACCTGTAACAGGTCCCTGATCCTCTCTGGGCCCTGTTCTTGTGTTGATAATACTTCTGTACTGTGTACAGTTGCAGTATGGTATATTTGCACAGGCTGCTTTTCATTTTTGAGTTCTTTTAACTCTCACAATACTTTGTGAGGTAGGTACTATTATTCCCCTTTACAGAAGAAGCTGAGGTCAAAGTCATGTGAGAGGAAGCAGTAGAAGTAGGAGTTTGAACCCAGGCCCTCTGGCTCTAGAATCTTTCTTCTTAAATAATAACTATCATTTATGAGTATTTAGTATGTGCCAAGCAGTGTTCACTGCGATACATGCATCGTCTCATTTGCTTTCCACACTTCCTCTTCTGAAGACAGGCTTCTTACTGGTTCCATTTATACATAAAAAAAGCTCTATGCTGAGGTGGCCCCTGCCCTCTCAGAGGCAGCCATGCTTGGGTCTCCTAACTCCACTTGTAACTTCTTCATGTCCCAGAGTCACCACCAACTCCCTCTGCTAGTCGCCCCCCATCTTCCACTGCTTCCTGAACCTTGTTTGTTTAAAAATGTCAGTCATCCTCCCAAACCCCTGGTCTTCCTCTTTGATCCTGTCCCCCCACCCACCAGTCAAACTCCTGTGGCACTCTGTTCCCCTTACAGAGCTTATGGAGGCCTTGTGTATGCTGGCAAGCCTTCATTCTTTTCATTTTCATATTTACATCAGCTGCTGGAGTGGGACAGATAACTGTCTGTTTTATCTTAATGTTCCCAGCACAATATGGGGCAGTGTGGATGCTCAAGAAATATTTATTAAATGAGTAAAGTCACATTTTTTTCCAGACATTTCTGTGGACAAGACATTCTGTCCACTTAATAGATGTTAGCTGATTTGTTCCTTATAATAGCAGTCCTGGGAGGGAAGGAGGGACACCTGAAGTCACAGTACAAGTTAGTGGCTCAACTCAAACTGCAGTCCTTTTCCTCTGCATTTTGGGGTGCCAATTTGTGCTTTCTGGTCTCTGTGGAGGGTGGAGGGCTAAGGATGGAGTGTAGGCTCTGGAGGTCAATTGCCTGTGGTTGAACCTTATTCTTCTAATGAGCCATATGCTACTTGGGCTAGTGTCTTAACTTTTCTGTGTCTCAGTTTTTACATCTGTTAAACCAGGAGGGCCATTTACTTCATGGGATTATTGTGAACTAATATACATAAAGATGAGGATAGTATTTAGGAGATAGAAATTACTCAATGCCTTGATTGTAATAGTTACTCACTCAGTTACAAATATTTAATGAAAGCACAGACTTGTACAACCTCAAAACATAGATCTGTGACCTTGAAGAGCTCCCAGTCAACCTGCAACATAGAAGGAAATAGTTACAGCAGTTGCCACCCCTGCCTTATGTAGTAATTGAGGAAATGTTTGCTGAGGCCTCTTCATCAGAGCCAGCCCTGTGCTTGGTACACAGGATCCAGAACTGAAGAGGCCTTGATTTCTGCCTCAGGGAGAGACTTATGACCAGAAATGGGCAAAGCAGAGAGGCTGGACTTCACAGTGGTTCCAGCTTGGGCTTTATCAACTGTTGGTTTTATCAGCTGTGACTCCTGTACTTCATGGATGTAGGCCGTGGGTAGATAGCTACACCTTTCAAGGCCTCAGGTTTCTCATTTGTAGTCTGAGGTTCATGTTCACACCTTTTGGGGATTAAATGAGGTGGTTCTTGCAAAGCACATGCACAGTACCTGAAAGGTGCTATACACTCAATAAGATGGTGCCTTTTGCTAAGAAGAATGAGGGAGAATGAGGGTAGGCAGGGCAGGGCCTGTGGTGGGCCACAGTGGGACAAGTCAGGAGGCTCTGTCAGGCCTGGCACAGAAGCAGGGCCAGCAGGGATTGAGAGGAGGGACTTGGGTTAATGACTTTCTAAGAAACAGAATGGCTTGGATTTGGTGACTAAATCATTATGGGGGAAGTAGGGTGACTCAGCTGAATATCTGGCCTACAAGCTGGGGTAGGCAACAGTGTCATTCCCCAAACCCAGGAATACCAGAGGAGGAACAGATTCCAGTTGAAAGTGAAGTCCTCAGACTGACATGTTTGGTCTGAAAGGCCTGTGGGCCAGTCAGGAGCTGGCAGGAGAGCAGCTGGACATGCAGGTCTGATGCTCAAGAGGAAGGCCCAAATTTGGTGAGAGTTTTCAATGTATAGGTAGCAGCTTCGAGGAAGAGGGCAGAAGACAAGATGTCAGTATTTGTGACTTAGCATAAGAGCAGCCAAAGACTTGGAGGAGATCAAGGGAGGTTGTCCTACAGGAGAGAGATTGAGGAAGGAGGGGTGATTAAGAGTGGTGGATGTCGGCGAGTGGCCATGGGGGATTAAGGACCAGGAATGGCAGTTGGATTTTGCCACAAGGAGCCTTGGTATCCTTGGCTGTACTGTTTGAGGGGGGGGGAACCAAAGCCAGGTCACATGGGGCAGAGACTTCATCTGTTCACTACTGTGTCCCTAGTTTCTGAGGTGGTACCTGTCATACAGTAGCTAATGGAAGAAAATTTGTTGAATGAATGAAAGGGAGGAAATCAGGATAGAGTGTGGAAAGAGGTAGTGAGGGTGGAGCTAGAGAGAAATTTGTAGGTGGGAGAGCAGGAAGTTTCAGGCTTTCCTGTCTGGTGGCTTCTGTTCTCTCTTGGAACTGTGAAGCGAAGTCATTTACCAAGAGCGAGAACAAAGGGCAGTTAGAGAATATGTGGAGGAGCTATTGAGTTGCAGGGCAGATGGCTGAGTCTTTGGCGTCCATGGGCAGACAGGGTGGCAAGGAAGGGATTGGAACAAAAGGTCAAGGCCAGTTAGAACTGGGAGTAAGTGAAGGCTTGGGAGTGGACAGATTGAAGGGCAGCTGTAGCATCAGGGAGCCTATAGAGCTGAATGGAAGGATTGGCCTTGGCTGGAACCCAGGAGGCTGTGAGCTCCTTACAGGTAGCAGTTGGGCTGGTCCATTTCTGTGTCCCTAGAGGGCCTCTGCAAGACAGAGGATTAAGACTAGAATTTCAGTCTTGGAGATGAGCTTAATCAGGGGCTGACTTGGTCAGGCTAGGGGATTTGCACATCAAGCCCTGACCCCTGGATGAGAGCAGGCCTTGGCCTCTTCATAGTTCTTCCTGCCTCTCTCACCTTAGTGTCATTCCCTAGTCTAGGAAGAATTGAGGTATGGCTTCCTGTTGTCCTCATAACAAATTCTTGGGCACTTGGACATGAACAGTGCCCCTGTGATGGCACTAAACACTTCCCCTGTGTTGTCGCCCTTCATCTTTGCAGCAAACCTTTGAAGGAAGTGCTGCCTATTTCCGCTAGATGGTTTGGAGAATGGAGGCCCAGAGAAGGCAAGCAACTTGCGTAAGGTCAATCAGAACACAGAGGTGGCAGAGCTGGAATTTAGATCTCTATAGTACTCATACCCTTTGCCTCTAGGCTCTCTGGCCACAACAGTCCAGCCTCACAATGCAGCCCTCCTTGACGTGGCACCTCTACTCTAGGCAGCCTCTGCAGCTTCACTCCTGGCCTTTTTCCCCATTCAGAGTTCAGGCTCTTGATCCAGACCAGCTTGGTTTAAGCCCTGGCTCTGATTCCACTTAGTAGCTGTGGGACTTTGAACAAGTTTCTTACCCTCTCTGGGCCTTATTTGCTTGAACTCTAAAAAGTAGATGGTAATAACAGTGTGTACCTTCTAGGGCTGTGGTGAGGTTAAATGCTTAATACATAGAATAGTAACCGGCTCATAATGAACCCTTGGTAAACACTAGTAGTGAGTGCTTGAGTCACCATTGTCGTTATTCTCATTATTACAATGAGATGAAGAATTGCTCTTTCTTCCTGCTGCCTGAAGTCTGCAGAGCCCTCCATTTTCTGTCTGTCCTGGGTCTGGTCACTGGTTATTCCCCATGGGGAACGTACACCCTCTTCCTCCCCTCCCTTCCTTCAAGTTTCAGTCAGGTACTGTCTCCCTGGGAGGCTCCCTCTCCAGTCCTCTTGTTGACTCTCATTATGTCCTTTGTTGCCTCAGTTACAAAGGACTGGCTGCATATTCCCCATTTTCTGGCTCTTCGGTGCCCTGTAGAGGCTGGCACTTAGTATCAGTAGGGCCCTCAGTGACTGTTGGTTAGTAGCTGTGGGACTTTGAACAAGTTTCTTGCCCTCTCTGGGCCTTATTTTCTTGAACTCTAAAAAGTTCAAAAAGACCAATTAGCTCCAGCCAAGAAGAGTCAGGAGAGACTTGCTGGAAGAGGAGACACTGGAGCTGAGCCTTGAAGGATCTGGGTTGGTTGGCATTTCCAGCAGAGGTACAACATGTGCTGGTATATGTTGGCACTGTACAGCATTGTGTGTCTGTAGGTGGGCAGGTGGTTTGCCCTGGCTCTTGAGGAGTATGAGACAGAAACTGTTGGTGACTTCTGTGTGCCCCCAGGAGGAAGGGCTCCCTTCTAGCTATGGAAGAGCCAGTAAGGCTTCAAGGTAGTGGTGGCAGTTGACTTGGTACTCAAGACTAGCTCAGAGTGGGCAGAGAGAGACTTTTAATGGCGCAGTATTTCACTGAGTGGGAAGAGAAAAGGGGCAGTATGTGGGGGCAGGAGCAGGGGAGCTGTTGAGAGTGGGTTTTTTCCCCCCTTTCTTCTTTAGAATTGGAGAGATTTGCAAATGTTTATTAGTTGAATGGAAGGAATAAGGAGAGGGAGAGGCTAGAATGCCAGAAGAAGGGGGCAAGTGGTGGGAGGCGATATGTGGGAAGAGTGATTGAAGCCTTAGTGTGTATGTGTCTCCTGTGTGCACTGAAATGTCATACCGGGGCTCTGGAGTATGCCTGGTAGTTTTAAGTGGCACAGAAACATAGCTTAATCCTTCTCTTGGTTTTGAAAAGGAAGTCTGTCCATTGGGTGCTATTGTATCTTTAGCACCTTTTAATACTTAACCTCCCTGTTGAACAGAAATGGTCTTTAGGTGGTAGCCTAAAGCCACAGCAACACATGGCTAGAAATTAGTGACCTCAGTCTATTTTAATTATATTTATTTCTAAGGTTAACAGATTTATGTGAAATAATACTGGTTTTAAGTGCAGAGAGGTGTTGTTTAAAGATAAATTCATGTTCTGCAGATAAGTGAATAGCAAGTGACGGGAACTGGGGAATCACTGCTCCAGCTCAGGCTTCTTGAAGGGAAAGCCTTTCAGAATGGCAGGTGGGAGGGAAGTAAGCAGACCACTCCTGCTGCTTCTGACAGTCCGTCTAGTCCTGACATGCCCTTGAGAACTACACTACAAGAGAATTTTCAAACTGAGATTCGAACTGTTAATAGATAACCTTGGGAGGTTGGGGGGAAGGGTTTCCTGGTAAAGTACGTTTTTGGGAAACCTTTTCTAGTTTACTGTATGTTGAACTAGTCAAGGCTTTTGGAAATACTGTGATTGGGAAACTTTGAACTCTTCAGACCCCGTTCATCTTTGTGGCTTTAATTTCTGGACCTTACCAGGCTTTCCATAAACACTGAGTGAATAGATGAAAAGCTGTAAATGAGGTGTGTTGTGGGGGTTGGGGAGATGTGCTCAGTGGGAGCTTCAAGGAATTCACACTGGCTGATTTGGCATCATTCATTCATTCAACAAATGTGCACCTGGCACGGTGCTGGGTTCGGAAGGGAAAAAGCCAGATCTGCCCTTGTGGAGTACACATTCTGCTTGGAGGGACACAATAATGAAACAGAGAAAATAGCAGGCCTGTAAGTCAAGCTTTGGGCAGCGGGCCATCAGAGTGGGGCAGATGTGGATCAAAGACAGAGATTAGTAGAGGAGAGGAGAAGTGCCCATGAGCCATCGTAATTTAGCCAGAGAAAATTTGGGAAGCCCAGCGTGGGTACTGGGGGCTGATGACAGATGATCTCTTTGGTGTTACATCAAATACGATATGTAAGGATGTTGTGTGTATCTTTCGCAGAATGCTTTATAAGATGTAAGGCCTGCAAACTGTCACAACCTCATTTGCTCCTATGGCAGCCCTGTGGGACAGGCTGAGTGTGGATCATTATCTTCATGTTACAAACAAGGCCTCTGAGGCTCAGGGAGAGGAATGGACTTGCCGGGGGTCTCACATCCAGTTAGTGATGGGAGCTGGGCCCCAAACTCAATGCTCTTGGCCTGAGGCCAGGAGCTTCCTGTTTACCCCTGCTGTCTGTGGGCCAGTAGAGCTGTGGTGAACCATTGAGTGTGGGGAGGTTTGTGGGCACCTGGAGAGCTGAGGACTGATGATGTCTTTGTCTCCCCCTTGTGGCTGTCAGGTGCTATGATAAGCGCTTGTGGCCGAGAATGGACCTGAGCCGTAGGAAGTCACTAACCCCGCCCATGCTCAGTGGTGTGGTTCGTCGCCAGCCCCGGGCCTTGGACCTCAGCTGGACAGGTGTCTCCAAGAAGCAGCTCATGTGGCTTCTCAACCGACTGCAAGGTAGGGAGGGGTGGTGAGGCAGGACAGGGTGATGAGGGGGCAGACATGGGACAAAGCCCTCCTAGCACCAGTTTCCTGACCTCTCCAGGCCTGCAGGAGCTGGTGCTGTCTGGCTGCTCCTGGCTCTCTGTCTCTGCCCTGGGCTCAGCCCCACTGCCAGCCCTGCGGCTCCTTGACCTCCGGTGGATTGAGGATGTTAAAGACTCTCAGCTCCGCGAGCTGCTGCTGCCTCCGCCTGACACCAAACCAGGTGCAGCCTCTATTGGCTCATTTGTAAAAACAGGTTAGGTGAGGTGGGGGTATGAGGCCTCCAGGATCTTTACTGACTCGTGCTGGTGTTAGAGGATTTGAAGAAAGAGCAGAATATAACACATGAGTTTAATGGAAGGCCCTGCTTGGCCATTTTGTTCATTCATACCTGCTGTGTTCTGGGCCCTGTGATAGGAGTTGAGGGAACAATGATGAAGAAGATGTAACCCCTTGCACTCCAGAAGGGAAGTAGTTATGTGATGAAACAATGTAGGATGGGAAGATGACCTCAGAATTCTTGAAGATGCCAGGAGTATAGCCAATGGCAGATATGAGTGAAGTCACTGGGGGGTGCTGGACACTCCTGGTGAGCCTCGTCCATAGTGAACAGTGGCTTTCCTGGGTCTGGTCACTTGTTCTTCCCCATGGCAAATGTATATCCTCTTCCTCCCCTTCAAGTCTCAGTCAGGTGCTGTCTCCCTGGGAGGCTCCCTGTCCAGTCCTCTTGTTGACTGGAATTGGGGAATCACTGCTCCACCTCAGGGCTTCTTGAAGGGAAAGCCCTTCAGAATGGCAGCCACCTCAGTGAAATCATCGCCATAGAAGAATGCAGGCCCAGTGTGGTCAGTCAGTTCCATTTGTCAAGAGGTGTCATAAATATACATTTCCTCTGAAATATCCTAGTTTTTAAATGATGGTAACACATATCCTTTTCAGAGTCAGTAAAATTATACAGCTGAGCAATAGATTTAAATCTTGACCTGTAGTAAAAGGATAAAGATTTTCCTGAGGGAGTAGAGCAGAAAGAGGGAACCAGTTGACTTGAAAGTTTGTGTGAGGGTGGCAGTATCATCTCCCAGGTCAGACCAGCAATCTCTGTACCCTGGGCCAGGCCCTGGTATCCTGCCAGGTAAAGTCAGCTTTTATTGTTGAACACACTCTGAGCCTAGCCCTGAAGACCTCAAGCTGAATCAGCCCCATTCCCCACCCTCGTGAAACCCCAGTCATGCAGACAAGAGACTGGGATATAGAAGGTCATGGCATGAAGGGGCTGTGGTCAGGACATGTGTGTTTTTGAGGGAGGAAACCATGAGAGAGGCCCTCCTTGAAGAGATACTGTTTGAACTGAGTCCAGAAAGGGACCGTCATCCCAGGGACTGAGACATGAATAAGCAGTTGTGTAGGGCATGAGGCCCATACTGGCAGAGGGGAATGCTGGGAGCTGAGGCTGGTCCAAAGAGCAGAGGCCTTGTCACACAAAGGTACAGGGTGGGAGCCTTGAGGCCTGAGGGTTCCTCTTATAGCCAGGAGATGAGATGCTCACAGCATCTTCTGTGGCCCCTACTAGTCTGTTCTCCACACTGAAACCAGGGGAACTGTCCAGAAGGGCAAATCTGCCCATGTCTCCCCTGTGCTCTAAACTCTTTCTCATTGCTCCCCAGTGCTTTTTAGATAAAGACCAATATTTTGTCAGGCATGGTCTGGCTCACACTGACCTATGCTGTCGCCACATTTCAAGCACCTGTCTCCTTGCTAAGTTCCCTCAGCCCCAGGGCCTTTGCCCACTTCTCTTTGCCTGGAATACTCTATCCTGCTTCATCTAATCACCACCTAATCATCATTCCAGCCTCTGCATAAATGCCACTTCCTCCTAGAAGCCCTCCACGATCCTCTTCCCTGTTGAGATCAGAGTCCCTTTTCAGCTCTGAGAGTAGTCCCCTCCTAACATATCACTGAGATGATTTGACTAAAATGCTTACTCTCACTAGGTTTTTAAGCTCTGTGAGGGCAAAAGGACTGTGCTCACCCAGCACCTAGTTTTCATCTCTCTCTTTCATAGCAGCTTCCTTTCACAGCAGCCTCGCCAGAAGAATAGAGAAGCAACTAGGTTTCTTTCACTTTCTGGACAAGGCACCAAATGCCCAGAGGAGTTGAGTGACTGCTGCAAGTCACATAAGCAAAGCCAGACTAGAGAACTCACCCATTGCCCACTCCTGCTGAAATTGCACTGAGCCAGGAATATTGGGAGGTGAAGGGGTGGGAATGGTGCATTCCATGAGGTGAGACAGTGTTGGTTGGTGGCAGACTGACCCCATCTCTTCCTCCTGCCTGAATCACTTCACTTTAAGCCCCTTTATTAAGAGCTTGCAAAGATGAGCCTTCCAGGCCCTCAAGGCCTGTTGTGTATTTTAAGATTCCATACCCACCTGTCATACCATATTCCCTGGCTTTGTGTAGCATTCCTGGAGCAAAAGTTCAAGTTCTACTTCCTTGCTTCAGCCCTTGCTGTTCTCTGCCTGGCATATGCTCTTCCCACCTCTCCACATGAAGGCCCAGATTAAACACTGCCACCTCAGTGAAATCATTGCTGATGGCCAGTTCCCCAACTCACACCGCAAGTGGCCTCTCTTTCCTCTGCTTCTCTCAAATAGCTTTTATCAATAGCCTAGGATTGCGGGCATCTTTAGATGTGTCCCCTCTCCAGGCTCTGAGCTCCTCAAAGGCAAAGAAGAGGGAGTGGAATTCAGAGTTCTCCAAGTCAGGTGCCTGAAGAGGTGGCCCAGCAGGTAACAGAAAAGATGGACTTGGTGTAGGAAATGAGGGAGTGGCAGCTAGCAGCAGCTCCAGCCAGTCACTGTTAGGTGAAAGGGGTAGCCCAGAGATGCCAGATATTAAAATTTTTTAGAGGAAAAGCTATATCTAAATAAATTACCTTCTTGTAGCATTAATCATTAAGAAATTTTTAGCACTATGCAGACTCCATAAAACACTTGCATAGGCTAGTTTCATGAGTTTGTGACATCTGGTTTAGTTTTATCAAAGCGCTAGGCTGGTGCCTGGGAGGCAGATAGCATTGTGATAAGAGTTTGGCCTTGGAGTGACCAGGCCTGGTGTCCTGGCTCTGTTACTTCAGAATCGTGTAACCTTGGACAGATGGCTAAATGATTTGAGCCTCAACGTTCTCATCTGTAAATGGAAATGATGACCAGAGAATTGTCTCCCATTGCTGTGGTTCTTAAAAGTACGTTCCAGAGCAATAGCATCACCATCACTGGAGAATTTGTTAGAAAAATAAACCCTAAGGCCCTCCTTGGACTGCCTGAACTCTGGGAGCTGGCCAGCAACCATTTTAACCAGTGCTCTAGAGGCTACAGAGGAGCCACTGGCCTTAGGGTGGGCAGCCACTTAGCCTGAGCCTGGGCCTGGGCCACAATGAGTGTTCAATTTGTGGTAGCTGGTGTACTACAAATGCTTAGTTTTAAAAAACAAAAAAATATGATAGAAGAATGTGGTAGATACAATAAAAAAAAAAGCAGACCTTTTCTTTGTGCTTTGGGTGTAGAGATGAGGGTCATGAGCACTTCCACTCCAGAGATGGGGGCAGAAGAGGCCTCTGAAACAGCTCTAAGAGCCAGGGTTTGAGCATAGATGGCCACAGGCAGAGTCTCTCAGGGCAGGGTCACCTGTGGAGTCTGGCCCAAGTGTTTGGGGTGAGGGAGAAGAGTTAGGATCTGTGAAAGGGATGAGACCTGATAGGAACTGGCATGTTCCACGAAGGAGGTTGGACTTGTCTGAGGGACCCTCAGAGTTTTTAGAAACTGAGGAGGGATGACGTCTTATTTGTGTTTGCTCTCTTAGGATGCCAGGAAGAAGAGGAGAGACTGGAGTGAGTGAGGAGGCTGGGGCAAGAGTTCAGGCAAAAGTGATATTGGCAGAGTGGTGACGGGAATGGAGGGAAAGGGATCCAGATGGTGACTTTACTAATCATGGAAGGAGAGGGAGTGGGATGGCAGTCCCTTTAGGGAAGGTATTTGTTGGATGAATGAATATATATACATATATTGAGCAACCATGTCCCAGTTGTTGGGGACAGAGCAAGAGCAGGACAGACTAAAATTCTTGCCTTTATGGAACTGACATTCTGGTGGGAGGAGAAAAAAAAAATATGTCAAATGGTGAGAAAAGGGGGGGAAATAATCCAGAGAAGTCACAGCTTCAAATGGAGTAACCCTGGAAGGCTTTGCTGAAGAGGTGACAATGAGCAATGGGCAGCTGAGATGAAGTCAGGTTGTACAGGCATTTGGGAGAAAAGCAAGCCACACACACAGTGCAAGTTGAGGCCCTCTTAGAGTGGGAGCAGGTTTAGGGATGGTAAGGAACATGAGTCTGGAAGCCGAGGGTCAGGGACAGGAGCAGCTAGGAGCGCTGATCTCTTCACTGCCTGCCCAGGGCAAACGGAGAGCCGTGGGCGGCTGCAGGGGGTGGCAGAGCTGCGCCTGGCAGGCCTCGAGCTGACAGATGCCTCCCTGCGGCTCCTGCTGCGCCACGCCCCCCAGCTGAGCGCCCTGGACCTGAGCCACTGCGCCCATGTTGGGGATCCCAGTGTCCACCTCCTCACGGCCCCCACCTCCCCACTCCGGGAAACCCTCGTACACCTCAATCTTGCTGGTAAGCCTACTGTCTGTCTGTTCTGCTACCCTTTTGGTCCCATAGCCAGTGCCCGGCCCCCGCTCACCTTCCTAGTCTCAGCTACCACTGCCTCATCTCCAGGTTGCCACCGTCTCACAGACCACTGCCTCCCACTGTTCCGCCGCTGCCCACGCCTACGCCGCCTAGATCTGCGCTCCTGCCGCCAGCTCTCACCTGAAGCTTGTGCCCGGCTTGCAGCTGCTGGACCCCCTGGCCCTTTCCGCTGCCCAGAGGAGAAGCTACTTCTCAAGGACAGCTAGTTGGGTGTCCCCTGCCCTCCCCCAGGACTCATCTGGAGCCTGGACCTCGGGCCTCCATTTCACCCGTGCCAGGAGGCCAAGTTACCTTATTATGACTTGGGATTCCTCCCAGGTATTCGAGCCAGCCTCCCCCTTCCTTACCCCCTGCACTGATATCTCTGGGGGTCTTTTCTTCCCATCCCCTCCCCCTTCCACTTGCTTCATTGTCCATCCCCTGGGGGGAATGGGTCAAAGGTACTGGGGGGTACTGAGCCAAAGGGATGGTAGGGGGGGGTTAAGGTGCAAGTTTGAGGTGGGGAGAATGGGGAAAGGGTATCTGTACACAGGATACTGAGAGCCAGGGGGCTGGGGGAGGTGGAGGATGGGCTGGGGGAGGGGGGCAGAAAGCAGACCACCAAGGGTTCAGGGAACAAAGATCAGATACTTGGAGTTAGGGGGGTGGGAGATAGGGCCAAAAAGGGAAATCAGAGGAGCAGTTGGGTATCCAGGTAGAGGGACTTGGGGAACCTTGGCAAGCTAGGGCTGAGTGAGGGGAAGGGGGTGAGAGCAGGTGTGAGAGCATTAGTACCCTCTCAAGGGGTCACCCCTCTCCTTACTCCCCAGATTTCAGTTCCTACCCCCCAGCATCCTCAGCCCTGACTTCTTGAACGTCACTGACAATGGCAGCTATTGTGAGGAGTGGGGATTAGGGCCTACTCTGTTTAGCTTGGACCAGGGGAGTGTTGAGGGGTACCCCAGCCCTCTACTTGCCTCCCCACACAATACTTGAACATTCATCTGTACTGAAGTGTTACTTGAACCGGGGGAACCTCGGACCTGGGGGAGCCGGAGTGTGAGGCACCTGATCAGCTTGGACTGAGACTGGACCAGTGGGCATTCAGTGTGGACTTTGCCACCCCGAGGCATTCTCTTGCTCTACTGTATTGAGCGGCTCCACCACTCCTGACGGGGGTGGGGGTGGGGTGCCCGTCCAATGTTGGGGAAGATGGGAGCCCTACAGCTTTGCTCTTCCCACTCTTTAATCGTCATGGAAACTTGTACCCCGTTTGCCCAGGGAATAGCCACTCCTTATTGCCATAGAAATAGCCAATGGACACCTTCCAAAACCAGTGCTAAGGCTAGAAATGGCCTCGGTTGCCATGGGAACATTGTAACAGTTCTTGGCCCCGCCCCTCCAGGGCAGGGGTGGGGTTTGGGGAGCCAGGGGGCTGAGTCGGGCCCAGGCCCCGCCCATCAGTCTGGGCTTTGGTGGGTAGCTGGGTTGTACCATGTAGGGAAGGGGGGAATCTAGCCACATACCTCAGGTAACAGGGAGGTGCGCGGGTCAGGGGAGGGACTGGGCGGACCAAAGGCTGGCGAGGAGGGGGTTCTGGGGATCGTGAAAGGCTTAAGGATGGGCAACTGGTAGGAGGGAGAAAGAGCAACTCGGCAATGGAGAAAAGTGTGGGACCCAGCCGGGCTGGGCTCCAGATCTGTACAATACGGTTTGCTATAAAACACAAAATCTTCCAGCCAGAACTGGGTGACTTCGTGTGTCTGTCTGCGGCCTTGGGTGAGTGGGAGTAAATCGGGAATGACAAGAGTGCTCACCGTTTGGAGCTGTTGCGGGAGGGGGGCTGTTGGGAAGGGTCTGGAGGAACAAAGGACCTACCGGAACTGCGGATGCAGGGCTCCCCGCGGTCCCTACTGATGGATGGGTTCACCTTCCCGGAGCTCACTTTGGGTACGGGTTTGGAAGGGTGGGCATTTTGGGGTGTGCTGGAGTGGTCCAGGACAAGGGAACTCCCAGTTACAGGCCGGTGCTTGGGAGGATATTGCAAGTCTACTGTGGGCGCGGGTTCCCTCGAGATACATGCCCACGGCCCCCTGGCTCCACCCCATCCTGTGCCGCCTGGCTCCGCCTCTGCCCCAGTTCCTGTTTCGGCCCCTTCTGTCCCGCTTCGCCCGCTAGCAATTCCTGCAGACTGATCGCCCGCTGCCCGCATCCCCTCTGGCTGCTCCCGGGCATGGTGGGGCTTTACCCTGGTCTGGGCCCGCCCACCTGGGGCCTCCGCGGCGACTCGGCCCCGCCGTGACCGGCCTGCCCGCCTTGTGCTGCGACCCCCAGGATGAAGGGCGGCGAGGGGGATGCGGGTGAACAGGCCCCACTGAACCCGGAGGTCGAGAGCCCAGCGGGCTCGGCCGCCTACCGAGAGTTCGTGCACCGCGGCTACTTGGACCTCATGGGGGCCAGTCAGCATTCGCTGCGAGCGCTCAGCTGGCGCCGTCTCTACCTCAGCCGGGCCAAGCTCAAAGCCTCCAGCCGCACGTCTGCCCTGCTCTCGGGCTTCGCCATGGTGAGGGGAGGGCAGAGGTGTATAGGGTGGCGGTGAGGCACATGGGGGGCACGGGGTTGTGGGGTAGGCGAAGTAAACGGGTACCCAAAGGGAGACAAGGCAGGAAAGGAAAAGACCGGTTTTTAAGAGGTAAAGGAAAGGAACAAACAAGGTCCCAAAGGACTACGCAAGCGCAAGCGCGCGTTTGTGTAAAACAGGTCTCTAGCATAAACTGGTCCGCAGGGAGGATAAGCCCCAAATGTGTCTCAGGATAAGACCAGTCACTTGGGGCGATAAATATGCAAAGATGGGGCAAAGAGGTCCAAAATCATAGTCCAGGTGGAAGTAATTACTAGGTCCCCACGAGGGAAAAGCAAATCGTAGTTGGGTGGGAGCTGTATAAACCTTTCTGGTGGGATCAGAGAGAATAAACTGGAGAATAGGCCCTTCCTAAGGAGAGAGGCCAGTTCCCAGCAGACACAAAGGGTGCTAAGTGTAGCCCAGAAAAGCTTTGAAGCAAAGAGAATGCCTGTGAGGAAGTTGCTGGGGAAAGAAGCTGAGGAAGCTGATAAAGGATATCTGAGCTGATAAGCTGCAGGTGTGGGAGGAGGCGATCAGCTAACAGTCCCAGGAGAGGCCTCAGAGGAAGTGGGAATGTGGGAGGTCCTTGGGTTAGGTGTAGTCTGCAGACAGAAGTTCTGGCTCCTCCCTGCTTGTGGACAGCTGGGTGACCCCCTGCCCCAGACAGGCCTCCATCCCCTCTCAGGCCAGTGAGAAATTGTGAGATCGTGAAGGGTGTGCCCTTTGAATAGCCGGCAAGTACCTGCCCCAGGATGAGCTGGTTCTTGTCATCAAACCCTAGGTCCAAGTATGTCAGAGCAAGACATACATCAGAGATGGCTCAGACTGCTTGTACATTGGACAGACAAGGAAACCAAGGCCCAGAATGGGGCAGTGGCTCTGCCAAGATCAAAGATACATAATGAACTAGCACCCAGGGTTTCTGGACTGTTAGTCCAGGGTTTCCCCACTATTGAGAGGGGAAGGAGAAAGTGAGCTGGAGGGGAAGGTCCTCATAGAACGTGAGGGTGGGTATGGAGATGGGGATAGAAGGGTCACAGCACTAGGGTAATTTGGATTATTCCCTGTCAGTTTCTATGCCACATCCTCTCTAGTTGAGAGGAAACAGTCAATTCCTAGAGGTTATCCTAGGTTTGTGGGTTTCTGTGTATGGGCTCAGGATCCATAGGCCAGCCCACCCATGTAGGATTTGGCTCCACTTTACCGGTACAGACTACAGAGGAGACGGAGCAGCTCCATGGACCTAGCTGAGGGAAATCCTCCACTCCCATCCACTCATGGTCCAGCCCGTTCCCAAGGGGACAGTCTGGCCTGCTGCTGGACTTGCAGGTTGCCAGGGTGACAGCTTAATTGGAAGTAACTTCTGTGCAGGATAAAGAGGCCAGATGAGTTGGTTCTGGGGGCAGGACTGGCCCTAGTCCTGCCATGGGAGAGCAAGGCTCAGTCAGGCTCCGGGAGAAACCTGGACTAGACCTGGCCCAGATCCCTGTCCTTGGGAAAGACCTGCTAATACCTACCATGGCCCAGTTTCCCAAAATACTTAGTCTTGTTTTTCTATAACCACTCTTCAGGCTCTGTACCCTCCTCATTCCGCCAGCCCCAGAGTAAACTAATGATCCCTGCAAGAGCCAGGGAGGGGGAAAGATCCAGATTCTGGAATCCAGGTAGCCTGGATTAGAATAACGTAGTACCAGTTGTATCGAACTGTCGCTAAATACAGGTACTGTGTTTAGAGCTTTTATGTGCATCATCTTTTTATTATCCTGTGAAAGGGGTACCACTACTATGACTACTTTACAGATGAGAAAACTGAGGCTCAGCGATGTTAAGATATGTGCCTGGGATCCCACAGAAATTAATTGGCAGGATTTGAACTTAGTGTGGCTCTAGAATCCACATTCATACAAGACTAGAATAGGATCAACAACTCAAATGTTTGCATGGGCCGGCCAGGTAATATGGATGCCAAATTACCTGAGGAATGGGAGGGGAAACTGGTTAACAAGAGACCCTATGAGCTGTCCAAAGGGAGCAGCCAGGACTCACCTCCAGTGGCTCATAGTTGCTGTGCAGGAATGTGGGTCTGGTGTAACCAGGTTTTCCAAATTTTTAAGAGGATCTAGAAATAGGGATATTTATATGAAATATTTTTAATTTAGAAGTTAGCAACTTAATTCTCTAAAAAACAATGTATGAGTCAAGCAAAACATGTCTGCATGCTGGCTGGGGTTTGGGATGTGCCGCTTAGTAAACTCTGGCCTTGGACTTTAGTGTACAGTTACCTAGTGCTTACTGTGTATCTTGTGCTATTCTTACCACTTGACGTATATTATTTAATTTCCACAACAGGTAGGTGATATTATCACTCCCCATTTTCTAGGTGGGGAGATAGAGGCATAAAGAAAACTAAGACACTTGCTCAAGAATATACAACTTACAGGGCTAAGAATGAACCCAGGCAGCCCAGCTCCAGAATCTGCTTATAACAGATTCCCTGTTATAACAAGGGAAGATTGTCAGAAATATACTGTCCAGCTCCTTCAACAGCCAGGTGGGAAACCAAGGCCAGAACAGGACAGAGCCTTGCTAAGGCTGCCCATTCATTCACTCAACAAAGACTGGGTGCCTTCTTTTTGCCAGGCAATGTTCTACATTCTAGAGAAACATGGTGTAGAATGGTCTACATTCTAAGAAAACATATTCAGTAATGAATACCAACAAGCAAAGATCCCCTCTACTGTTAAGGAAGTTATGGGCACTCAGTCCATCTTCTCTTGTCCCCACAGGTGGCCATGGTAGAGGTACAGCTAGAGAGCAACCATGAATACCCACCAGGCCTGCTGGTGGCCTTCAGTGCCTGCACCACCGTGCTAGTGGCTGTGCACCTCTTTGCACTTATGGTCTCCACATGTCTGCTGCC